ATATTTGTGACTTCATGACAAAGGGCAAGGAAAAAGCGAGCTACTTGCAAAATTTACTAACCCGAAACGTGTATAATCTGGAGAATATCTCGCCGATGTCCAGTGATCTTTCATGCAGCGAACGTGTAGAAGCTTGCTCATTCCACGCATTTAGAAAACACAGTCATTATCACTGTGCATTATACAACGCATACAAATTGAAACACTGGTACATCGAACAAAGCCACATAAACATCAGGAAACGTGACAACGTCTATGTGGCTCAGTGCTTGTCCTCCAGAATTAACGAGGAAGAGAGTGAAAATAGATATTCCTACAAATCGGGGAGTGAAGAGTCATCGACTGAAGAAGAAGAAAACGAAACAAATACTGAGTTGGAGCATTCAGTCGAACCATCGAGGACTATAACAATCATGTTACCAGAGGTAAAACGAAATTATATAAAATGAATTCGCTCGAAATTCAACATGCGCTGCAACATCTCAACGCCAGATACACAGGCGTCTATCCAGCCGACAGACTACCGAGGGTATGGACGAGATCGACGGCAATAGTCGCTAATACGGACAATCATGACCGACCAGGACAGCACTGGGTCACATTCTACATCGATCAGAATGGAGCAGCCACATACTTTGACAGCTACGGAATGCCGCCTTGGGACTCGCGATTTATCCTGTGTCTTAGAAGAAATTCCGTCACTTACCGATGGAATACCTCTCAGTTATAGGGACACTTATCGACGACTTGTGGCTATTATTGTTATATTTTTCTTTACTTTATGTGCTGGGGTTATAACCTCAATGCCTTTAAAAATTTATTTACCAATGATTGTGAACGAAACGATTAGCTAATTGTATGAATGTATAAGAAAATCTTTTGTCAATGTAAGAGTAAATCACTAGATCATCATATCCCTATATACCAGGTTCAATCCTGTATTAGAAAAATGTATAAGAATAAAATGTGAATTTATTCAAAAAAAATTTTGTATATTCCTTTCTTTCCGCCTCTTCACTCATCCCTGTGATCTCTAATTCGCGATAACAAGACCCGTTGTAAACTTTTCGAATTCAAAAGTGAGGGGACACACAGGTAAAAATATTGAGGTAGACATAGACCGGAGGTATCGTCTTCTAACAATCGCTGAGTAGTTTTTATCTTCGAAATTATCCTTATCTGCTCGAACATGTGCACACATGCTCCCGCGCCTCAAGAGCAGGGGCCTGAGAGATTCGAGTCCGTAGGGCCCAGAATTTTCGAAATTTTCCACGCGTGACGTCACTACTCTACGTAAGTATACAATATAGCTAGTTTCCATCAGAGTATAGCAATAGCGTAGCGTATAAGACGCTTGACTCAAGAGCCAACAGACCCTGGTTCGAATCCAAGGAGACCTACAGGATTTTTTCAGAGAACACGCATGTGGGGATGACCACACGCACACACACACACACACACACACACACACACATACACACACACGCGCGCACACTTCACTCCGTTATATGACTACGTCGTAAAGCCAGTTTCTACGAGAGAGCAGCAGTAGTACGGTGGTAAGACGGGGTTTAACTCAAGAGCCAAGAGGGACTCCGGTCCGAATCCGAGCAGGGAACCACAGAGTTTTTCCAAAACTTGTGACGTCGTTACTTTCCGTATATAGGCAATATAATAACTAGTTTCCATCAGGTTATAGCAGTAGCGCAGTGGTAAGACGCGTGACTCAAGTGCCAGAGGTTCGAATCCAGCAGAGCTTTACAGAGTTTTTCCGCAAACGCAATATGCAAATTAAGTAGTTAATCAAGAACCAGAATCGCCAACTTTCTAATAATATCGGCCATAATTTGCTTATTTCAAAAGTTGATTAGTTTTTGTCTGTGGGAAGATATGGCCTGTCAAAACATTCCCCCTCCACTCGACCCGCCGGCGCCGGTGGGCGTGATTTAGTGGCGCTGGCGGATCGAGTGGAGGGGGAATGTTTTGACGGGCCATACCTTCCCACATACTACTGCTCTCTTTCTCTCACGATTTGGCTATAACTTATTGGCTATAACCAACGCGCCATCCGTGAAAATAATGCCTAGGCATCTTTAATGTATTTCGCCGGTCACGTGTCCTTTCTCGCGCGTACGTTCTCTTCCTACCTAATTAATTGTCGCATTAAATAGGAAGTTTTTTACATATAAAATATATAAAAAAATAAAATGAAAAACAGAAAGGACGTAAAAAATAAAAAAAATAGAAATCCATTCTTGGCCAATATGTACGCATTTTCCTTAAAAAACTTGATTATTAATTTATAAAAATTATTTAATGTGCAAAAAAATAGATTGCCAAATTAAATTATATTTTTTCTGTTTCGTAAAAAGTATTCTGTTAATATACTTTATTAATAGCAAAAACATTATAATAAGCAACAGAAATAGATGTTCTTACAGTAATAGTTTTCTGCTGTTTCAGTTTTATAAATGAACTAAGTTAATTTTATTTATGATATCCCAAGTTGAACCTTTTGATTCTACATGAAGCCTGTATCAGCGTTACCAGATTGTGAGATTTTTGGTCAGCTGATATTCAACAGCGCATGCGCTAGCTATGTCACAATCCTCACATGGGTAGCCTTGTCAGTATCGTGTTTAAATGCAACAATAGGCGCTTATGTGGCGCCTATATGAAAACCTGAACAACACGTATTGCATATGCGTATGCGATATATTATCATATTATATATTAAAACAAGAAACACTGACAAATGATACACGAGCATTGTGCTATCAATAGTCGATTCTTAAAAGTCTTCATCATCGCTGAACGTAAAACTATTATTTATTATATGGTAATGAAGTAAAATAACTTGTATTGTAACTAGACAGCATTAACCTAAAAAAACGATGCATAAGAAACCTGTAATACGTTTTTTTATACACTTTTGTTATACATCTCTCATTATCCTATACTCATTTTTCAATATATCTCATTCTTTTCTTCGAAGGGCCTTAGCGATACTTTATATTCCAGCGAAATATGTACGCGACTGGGAATGAGCGGAGTTGCGCTTATTGCGCATGTGCGAAAAAAATCTCACGATCTAGTAACGCTGGCCTATATATTGCAGAATTGTATTTCTTTAATGCTACTAATTGGAAATTATTTCCTCCATGTTGAGACATAAAGAACTTTTCTGGAACATGTAAACTTGACATGGGACCAAATATTTCGACTCGGAAAATTACTTTTCGTATAATTTTTTGAACATATTTAAAGATATACTGAAGATTTCCTGCATTTGTTAATATTATATTAAAAATTTATGTAATACACAATATTGATAATTTCTGAAACTGTTCAGAATATCCTTTAATATCTAGAAAAATATTTTGCAATAGAGTAATAATATCTAGAGCAGTAATATCTAGAAAAATATTTTGTAAAGAAAGTATTTTGGAAAAATAAAATGTCTCAGATTACATGCAGAAAATTTTTATCAAATAATTCATCAGATTATATCGCGCGACCGGGATATGTTTGTACTATAAACTTTTTTTTTTGGTAACGCAGGGGAAATCCATCATGGATACCCCCGACCCTTTGGGGAATCGTGGGTTATGTCAGACTTTTACTGACTAAAACCTCTGCGGGATGTCTACCATTCGGACCGTTGTGAGGGGAGTTAGGGGAACTGCTCCCGCATTCCCTCCCCAACATCCCGGCTCCAGGGCTCTCCGGGAGCCCCACGCCATCAAGTACCGCGCCCTGCCCCGCAAAGGGAGTCCAGGGCGCGGTCCCCCGGCCGATTTCCCGCCCGGGTTGACCTTCCGGTGATTACTTGGAGGAAGGGGATATCCACTCTTCCTCCGCGCCCACCCTATTTATCTCCCCTCCAAAGGATAAGGGCGGGAGGAATGGAGCCCAGCCTCAACTAGGCTTCCACTCCTTCTCGCCTACATTATCCGACACTCAGGGGGGAGGCGGTCGGGAGTTACGCGCCTCTCGTCGCCCCCCTCCCCCCGCGCGGCCGAAGACGAGCCCGAGGCGGCCAAGATGGCGGCCTCCGTCTAGCCGCTGGCCTTTCCTTCTCCCCGGCCGGCGCCTCCTCGGGCTCGCTGCTACTCAACCCCGGGGAGCGCCGCCCTCCCCGCCGCTGTCTACGGCGATCTCCGAGACGACGCTCCCTCTCGGCGGCCTCCTTCCGCGTCAGCGCACTGCGACAGAAGGAGGCCGCCTCTCCCCAAACCTCTTTGCTCCTGCACATGGCTCTTGCCATGCGTCACATCGTTCTCCCTGCACCCCACCGCCTGGGCCAGGACACCGCGCTCCCTGTCCCATTCCCCCCGGGCATTCGGACAGGGTGTGATGCGCGGTGTCATCCAGCTTCGGGCAGTGGTAGCACCCGGTGGTGGGCTTTTTTTTTATCCGGTGCAGGTAATGACCGAAACATTCATGTCCAGTCATCACCTGCACCAGATGATAAGTGAGTCCGCGCCCCCTCCTGCCTGCGAATTCCGCCAGGCAGGGGCGGACTGCCGTCGTCGTTAGTTGCCCGAGCTCTCGCGGGTCGGACATTGCGTCCTCCCACTTCTGCAGAGTTCGGGCAACCACCTGAGACTTCAGGGCCGAAAGTTCCCTGGCCGTTGCCTCCCCCCTTTCGCGGAGCTCCTTGGTTCTCCAATAAAGAGTACATCTTTCCTCCGCAAGGAGCTCCACTGGGGGAGAGCCGACCAGGGTCGTCGCTGCCATGTATGTTATGGAGCGGAACTCCCGAACTGCCCTCACAGCCACCGCCCTCAGAGCCTGGCGCATCAGGCGTTTGCTTTGGGCGGTGGCTAACAATTGGGGCGCCCAAATTGGCGCCCCATAGAGAGCGATCGAGAGAACCACTCCCACATACAGGCGGCGAGCGTGCCAAACTGGGCCTCCCTGGGTCTGCATCAACCTGACGAGAGCCAGGCCTTCCTTTCTGACCCGGGGGGCCAGGTCTCTAAGTGGGCCCTGAAGTCCTACCGGCCGTCCAACGTCAGGCCCAGATACTTTATCGTGGGCCCGACGTGGACGCGGACTCCGTCCACCAAGACCCGGGTCTCCGGCGGCGCTCCACGGCTGCAGTCGTGAAAGAAGATGGCCTCCGTCTTGTGGGGCGCCACCTTTAGACCCAGGTCACTAATTGTGCCCACCACCTTTGCAAGGGCCACCTCCGCGTTAAAGCGGGCTTCCCCCAGCTCCCCCCCCCGGCTACCACTAGAGTGTCATCTGCATAGCAGATGACGTGGCAGTCGAGGGGGAGGGGCGAGCGTAACACCCTGTCGAACGCGATGTCCCATAGCAGAGGGCCCAAGACAGACCCCTGCGGGACACTGCGTTCCATCAGCCGCCGACCCTGGACCCCACGTTGAACTGGGTAGGCGAGGTCCCTGTCCTCAAAATAGGCCGCGAGGATGCGCCGGAGATAGGCAGGCATTCGATGATGCTCAAGCGCCCGCCCGATCTCTGACCATGGCAGGGTGTTGAAAGCGTTGGTTACATCCAAGGATATCGCCAACAATACCCCGCCCCTCTCCTCCACGACGGCACAGGTCAGGTCCCGGACGTGCTGAATCGCGTCCAGCGTCGATCGTCCGGGCCTGAACCCGTATTGTCTGTCATGGAGGTCCGGCCCATTTGAGGACAAATGCTGGACGAGGCGGTCCGCGATGATGCGTTTGAGCATCTTGCCCGCCTCGTCCAGCAAGCAAATCGGTCTATAGGCCGATGCATCGGGTGTTTTACTCACCTTCGGGAGGAGGACCAATTTGACCCTCCTCCACTCTGGGGGGAAGACCCCGTCCGTGAGGCACCAGTTCAACACACTCCTCGTGGCTTCAGACATGTTCCGATCGTCGAGGGCGAGAGCCCAGGCGTAGCCAGGAATGCCGTGGGGGCCAGGGGCTTTGCCTCTACTCCCCAGCCTTTTCCTAGCGCTGGCGAGCTCCTCCGGACTGACTCCCAGGTCCTCGGTCCACTCCCCTTCCCGTGGGGCAGGAATCTGCGGGAGGCCCCCCTCCACCCTCGGGAAGAGGGTACTGAGGAGCTCCTCCGGGTCCTGGGGGTCTAGCGACTCCGTTGGCGGGGGCGCCCACGAACGTATCTTCCCGACCGTCCGCTTATAGGGGCGCCCCCACGGGTCTTCGTCCAGGGAGCTCACCAATTGCTCCCAGGCCCCCGCCTTCGCTTCAGCTATGGCGGCCTTCAGGGCATTTCGCGCCTGGCGATAGCTCTCCTTTTCGCTCGCAGCCTTCCCGTCGTTTCGCCGGGCCCGGGTGTACACCCGTCTGGCCTGGGCGGCGGCCTCTCGCAGTTCTGCGATGGCCGCCGTCCACCAATAGGCGGCCCGGCGCCGACGGGGGTGGGACCTGAGCATCGCGACGTCACAGGCCGACGTCACGATGCCCACCAGTTGCCTAGCCCCCTCCTGAGGGCTGGCGTCCCACTCACCTAGCATCTCATCCAGATGCCAAGTGGCCGCGAGGATGGCCGCCCGGAACATGTCCGACTTCAGTTGATTGAAAGTCCATCTCGGAAGAGGGAGCCCGGTTCCTCCCTTGGGCGGCAGCCGAGCACCTGCGAAGGGGCTTGGGAGCTGAGAGCCCAAACAATGTATCTGTGGTCAGACAGGTTGTCGCCCTCGGTCTCCACCAACCCCTCCCGGAACATCCGGGCGGCCGACGGGGAGGCCCAGGTCAAGTCAATGACCGACTCCCAGTTCGACCGCACACAGGTGCTGGTCGACCCCCTGTTCATCAACAGGAGGCCGAGTCCCGCCGCCCAGCCAATCACGGCGTCGCCCCTTCGGGGATCCCCCTGCCGGGGCTGCAACCCCACTCCGTGGAGTGAGCATTGAAGTCCCCGGCAACCACGACTGGCCGGAGGTGGCACTGCCGCACCACATCCCCGACCTCGTCCAGGATCCCCATTACATGGGGCAGTTCGCCGAGACCGGCCTTGTTTTTGCGGGGGTGCAAATACACCCCCACAATAGTAACGGGCCCCCAATCAACCGCCACGCATGAGTCCCCCTTTTTCCTACACTTGCAGGGAGGGGCACCCGTGATGGGGTGCGCCACCATGACCACCCCGCCGCTCCGGCTCTCAATCCAGTCAGGACTGGATATCGGGATCCAGAACGGCTTGCTGACCAACCCCAGCCCAGTCTCCAATTCCCTCAACCCGTGGGCAAAGTGATACTGGGCGCGTCGGCTGCGGCTGAGGTTGGCTTGCAGGACCCGGAGAAAGGGCGTGAAAGCTAAGTTTTCGGCCCCTCCTCCGGGCTACCCACCTCTGCCCCCTTAGCAGGAGCCTCCCGCAACAATGTCGCGTCGGCTCCGTCTGGGGAGGGCTTCGACCATGGCAGCTTCTTCTACGGGTACCTCCGGGACTGATGTCTCCGCAGAGGTGCAGGGAGTCCCTACCTCTATTTCCCCCTCCTCTGGGGAGTATGAGGAGGTGTCAGTACCATGAAAAGTCAGAGGGGGCGCATCCTCCAACTCCTGTTCACTTAGGGTCGTTGGGGGTGAGCCTCTCGGCATCACCCTCCTCACCTTTTCGGCCTCCAATTGTCCGGCCTGTCCTACCATTCCTAGGTCCGCTGGCTCCTCTGTATCGTCCTTTGCGGCCCCTCGCTTCCTCGTGGTCCTCTGCTGCAGCGGTTCTTCTGGTTCCGGATCCCTATGGACCATTGCGTGTACCACCTCCGTCCACGGGTCCATGTCCATGGGGGAGGGGGGAAAGCCCCTCCCTCCTTCCCCAACTTCTGCAGCGAGTCCTTCGGTGGGGGAGAGGGTGTGGAGACCCATCTCTCCCCCCTGCCCCTGCACCGAGTCCATCAGTGGAGGGGAGACCGGCCTGGTCTCCTCTTTTCTTTCCTGGGAGTCCTTTGCTGTGGCAGGGGTGGGGGCTCCGGCCCCTTTTCTGGTCCTCTCTTCCCCAGCGTTCCTCCTCTTTCCCTTCCTCCCCCGATTCTTCGGGGGCTTACAGGCTGGCCCGCCGACCCTATGGTCGGACGGGCCCTCTCGGCGCACACCGCACATTTAGCCGAGGCCGCCCTGCAATCCCTAGCGCGGTGACCGGGGTTACCGCAGCGATAGCAGGTATCGCTGCAGTCGGCGGTGTTCCTGCACCGCTCGCACACATGACTATGCTACAGACATCTGAAGCATAAGGCCGCGTGAGCGGGCAGCACCACCACCCCGGCGCGAGTCCAGCCTATCTGGACCCGCTCCGCAGTGGCGACCTTGGAGGCCGCCGCCTGCGGAGACCGTCCCAGAGCCGTCGCCATCCCTCGCTGGGGTACACGAATCCCATCCACGGACACTTCCGCAGACAGGCACCCCCCAGCGAGGGCTACCGCCTCCGCCACCTCCTGGGCCCCGATCGTCAGGTCCAGGCTGGTGAGCCGCAGCGTCGCGGTCCTCACCGGTCTCTGGACCCGATACTCGGGGCCCTTCTCAGCCGCCAGCTTGCGAAGCTCCTCCGCAAGCCGGTCGGCTGGTGCCCCGGCGTTGAGGCCAGGCACCTCTACAAGCAAGGCCCCCGTGAGTGTCCGGCGAACCCTGAGGGATCCCGGAATCCCCAGGTCCGTCGGCTTGATTCGGCGCCTGGTCTCTGCCATAAATTGGCTATATTCGCCGTGGGGGCATTTGGGAGTGACGGCGGCTGACCTAGGCGGCCTCAGCTTTACCTGACCCCCCTTCTTAGCCCCCGAGGTGGGCCGGGGAGGAGGGTTAGTGGGATGGAGGATATCTCTCTTCTCCTCCTTCTTCCTCTTCTCCCTCTCCTTCCTGCTCAGCACCTTGGTCCATCCTTCATTTTGCCCTTCCTTCGGCTGGGCGCTATTGGTGGTGGTGGGTCCTCAAGTAGGTCCCACTTTCCTCTTCTCCGGTCACCTGCGCATAAGACTTCTTTCCCTGGATGGGAGGGATCCTCGGTCCCTGTGTCGCAGGGTCTGGTATGATACCTTCCGCCCCTCGAATGGCAGCCACTTGTCTCCTTTTTCCCCTCTGCCTCCTCCTTTGTTCCTTCTTTTGGGTTTTGGTCCTCGGGATTCTGGACGTCGGTCTTTCAGCTCCCCTGCCCCCCCCCCCGATCGGGTTAGCTATTGCCTCCCCCCTCGGAAGTGGGATAGTGTCGGGAGCCCCAGCCCGCGCCACTGTCCCCGAAGACCTGCCCTTTGGCCTGTCTTCTATGAGGCCCTTTCTCATTAGCGTAAGACTCTTCATCTCCTGCGTGGGGCGAGCGTGCTCCTCACTCTCCGGGTCGAAAGGCTCCCTCTCCTCCACGCACTCCAACAGCCTCCTCGTCCATTCCTAGTATATCTCCCTGGCCCCCGCGTCCAGTCCACTAATTAACAGGGAATCCTCCCGTTCCTTTCTCTGCCCCAGTACCTCCGGTCTACGGACCGAAGGCATCGGGGCAGTAGCCTCACCTCCCCTGAAGAAATCAAGGTTGTCATTATAGACTTTGACCCCGTCCACCTCCATTTCCTCCACTGACGTGGAGTCCTCCCGGATGGGGGACTTCACGACCTTCCTCCTCTTCCGCTTCGTTTTCCTGCGTCCGGATACTAGTGTCCCCTTCCTTTCACTCGCCGAGGAGCCATCGCCTGATACCACGTCGGCGTACGTCCTCCTCTGTGCTGTCGTCGTGTGAGCGGAGGCAGGGACGGAACAGCTCGCAGCCGCCGTAGCCGCACCTAGCTTCTCCTCCAGCTCCCTGTTCTTCACCTTCACCACTCTCAGCTCCTTCATCTCCCTCCAGATCCCGGTCGCATCCCTATCTTCCTTTCCATCGTGCGCCGCGACCCTCGCTATAAGGGTCGACAGAACCGTCTCGGAGGCAGTCACGGTACGGCCCAACAGCGCCACATAGGTCCCCTTCAGGGTTTTGGACCTATGTGCTACCAGTCGAATCACGCCAAGTGCGCGACAAACCTCCGAGGCCAGTTCCGCCGACCCAGCCACCTTCAGAAGCCCCTTTGTTGCGGGGTCTTTAAAAATCTCCTCAGCGGGGCGCTTATCGTTCAAGATACGCATCATCCCCGCGCTGAGGAGGTTCTTCATCTCCCTTTCTAACTTCTTCTCCGCCACCACCTTTTTGCGGATGGCCTCAGTCTCCCTCTTCTCACGGAGTCCAACTCCAGCCCCAGTAGTGGCCTTCCTTCCCCTGGGGTCCTTTGGCCTGATCTGAACACTGGCGCGCTTCCTTACCTCCCTCTTGATTGAGGAACATGAGCCCCCGCTGGACTCCTCCTTCCTTTTTTCGGACCCAAGACCCGATGTAGCCCCCCCGGCTGTCACAACATCACCAGCAGTGCTGATGATAGCCGTGTCAGCCTTTGTTGCCGGTTTCTCCATCTGGCTCGGGTCCTTGGTACCCACAGTGGTCGTGGGTTTCTTCAGGAATTTCCCCGTTTTGGGGTCCCTCTCACTGTCGTTGATTCGAACTTGAATCCTGGAATTCCGACTTAAGACGGCATCAGATAGGACCACCGGTTTTCTGGTGGTCCTCTTTCCCCCCTACTCGCGTCCGCGCTCGCGCAATCCCCCTCAGTCCGCGTATCCCTCTTACTACTAAAAGGGCCCGGTCTGTTGAGTCTACGCGTCGGGGTTGAGGTCTCAGTCCCTATCCCTTTGACCATTTCCTTTCCCTCGTTGGCCACAGTCTCCTCCTTGCCCGACGAGCTGGCCTCACTCCCTTCTCGGTAGGAGGTGTGCTTCCCGTCACTAAGCGGGGGTTCAACTCCCCCGTTGGGTGGCCGCTCCTTCTTGCTCCGGGAGCCCACCAGACGAGTCCCCTGGTAGGGATCGTCCTTCCGGCAGATGTTGGCCGGGGTTTGTCCCTCGGTGCACGGCTGCCCTTTCTTCAGACCCGCAGGGCCTGTATTACACACTCCCCGGCGGGAGCGGTCTCTCCGGCGCACACGCTCAGAGGAGGACCCGTGATAATCAGGGTTCACGTCGGATTGTGGGTCGTCCCTCCGTACAGATAACTCCAGCATGGTAGGACCTGCCAGGGGTCGAAACCCCCGCCGGTACAGCCCTGTACGTCATCAAGACACGCAAGCTCCCCCACCACGGCACGGTGGTGTCCACGGGGGAGAAAAAAGGGTACTCTCTTGTGATCCCCTTCCCCACCCAATGACCAGTAACCCGGCACAACCAACGGCCATCCCTTTCGAGTGCCCCGATGCTCGACGGTCTTCGCCTAACAAAGTAGGTCGCCCTCTCCCCGCGGGTTCCCTGTTGCCGACTATCTCCAGCCACCGAGCACCAGAGTTCCCCCCTCAGATGGACAACCCCCGGGTGTGTGCTCCAGGCTTCCTGAACACTGGGTATAGCGCTGAAGATTGCCTGAGGGTGGACCGTGTCCATCCCGCACGCAACCCATGCGCCATCAAAACACGCCTTCCGGCGTACCAAACAGACTGCTTTTAGATGCGGTATCATGTGACCGTATATACCACCTACTGGACCGTCCAAGGCGCAGGGTCAGGCAAAGCTCTCCAACTGCGGGAGTCTTCCAGTCCAGCGATGGCACATCCGGGAGGCTCCATCACCGCCGCCGCAACCATGCAACCCCACCTTTCAGCCAGCCTTCCAGGCCACCGTCCCGGCGGGCAACGGTCCAGATGGCCCGTCCGACCGGCATCCAGGGCGTGTCACTGAGGCACCGACTCCCAACGGTAGCATGCCTCCACGACCCATACACCCATTCGCAGCTCTCCGGTCCCTCTGTGAAGATGAAACTGGGACACCGATGAGTGCATCCCCCAAGTTTCCTCAAGGAATGTCCACCCGGCACCCAGAAAAACCCTCCTTCGGAGGCGACCTAAGCTGGTTCATTCGACGTACATATCCTCTCCGGCACTGGAGCGGGGACGTCCCCAGCCGCTATCACCCCAGCCCCATTCCTTCGAGGATCAGCGCTGTCGCCAGCCCCCTCCGGAACCCCTCCCCCCTACACACACATTTATTCTGGATGGCGACGCCATCCTACATCCTCGTAGAGCCCGCACCGTTCTCCGAGAGCACCCCTGCTCCCACCGTCGAGCAAACCCCCCGGATGTCGTAGGACTTCGGCCTAACGAATCAGTGGGTGCACTACAGCGCTCGCCCACCGTTACCGACTATCCTCCGTCCCCGGCATCCGAAGGTCCCCCTAGCCATCAAAAGCAGTGGCCTAACGGAGCAGGGGGTACACGACAGCGCTCGCGCCCCGTTGCCGACTATCTGCCGCCCCCAGAAACCAGAAGGCGTCCGATTCGACGACAGAACTAGGACCCACGGGGTCCGCGGCGCGCTCCACCGGGCGTTGCCTCTCAGCCACTCCCATGTGGAGGAATTAAACCACACGAGAACCGCTGAGAGGATTCCATTCATCCATACCATGGTCGACTGCCTCACTAGGCTAACGAGTCCGACCCCCCGGATTTTTATTTTGGGTTTCCTCCCCTCGTTCGGATGTCTGGCACCGACAGACTAACAGGTCAGATCACCCGGGTTTTTCTACTGAGTTCTCCTTCCCCTCGTTCTGGTGTCTGGTATCACTAAACTAGCGAGCCCGATCGCCCGCGTTTCATATTGGGGTTCTTCTTCCCCTTCACTTCGGTCGCTTGCCCACGAAGTCAAGCTCTCGAACCCTCGCCCGGGTTTGATATCGGAGTTTCCTCTCCGGAATAGGTTGTCATGAGGCTAATGAGCCCACTAGCCCG